GTCCAGATGTTTTGGGATTCCACCCAAGGCACCTATTATTATTGGTACTATCTTTGCTTTCTTTTGCCACAGTCGTTCTCTATTTGCAGGTCTTTATATTTTGTGATTTTCTCCAGTTCTTTCTCTTCTATCCTGCTGTCTCCAGGTATTGCAATGTCCACTATCCAGACTTTTTTGTCTTTCTTATCAACAGTTGCTAAGTCTGGAGTGTATTGTGGCAGGTGCTTGTCTGTTTGAATTCTAAAGCCCCGAGCACTTTAGCTTCTTCATTTTCTATTACTTTGTCTGTTTTGTGGTCCCACCAGTTCTTACTAGCAGACAAATGGTATTTCTTGCAGATATTCCAATGCATAATTTTTGCTACTTTATCATGCCGTTGTTTGTAGTCAGTCTCTGCAATTTTCTTGCAGCAGCTGGCTAGGTACTCCACTGTTTCTTTAGCTTCTTTGCAGAGGTGGCATTTGCTGTCTGATGCTGCCTTCTCAATTCTTATTATTCTTATTCTTATATTTTATTTTTATCCCACCTTTTTTATATGTAACTCAAGGTGGTGTAAACATACCTAACACTCCTGCCTCTTTTCCCCAACAGCAACCCTGTGAGGTGGGCTGGGCTGAAAGTGATTGGCCCAAAGTCATCCAGCTGGCTTTCATGCCTAAGGAGGGACTAGAACTCACTGTCTCCTGGTTTCTAGGCCAGCACCTGAACCACTATGCCAAATTGGCTCTCTTATCTGCCAATTTTCCCAGCATTTTCCCTTCCCTTTCTCCTTTCAGCTACCAATGCTTATAAACTTAGCTTTTTCCCATTTACTTACCTCTGCCTGAAACAACCCATATCTGGAACAGAACCATCTTACTGACCAGAATATCTAAAATGCATGGTTTTGTTCAGCACAGGGTATCCAGAAGCAGCTTTTCCATACATGGAACAATTCAGACAAGGAACATTTTGCTCTTCCCTACTAGTACGCATTATCATATTTTACTTAAAATGGTCAACCCTAGGCATGGCTGTATCAATTGCATTTTTTTTAAGCCCATGTTTTCTCGTGTAACAGATACTGGGATTTTATTCTTTTTAACATTTATTTTTTCCCATTAGATTAAGCAGCAAAGGCAGGGAGTCTGGATTCTTACCTTGTAGCTCGTATTTCTAGGTAAGAAAGTGGAGAGAGACCAAAGTATTGAGAATGTGCAAAACATTCTACGCATGAATTTTTGTGTACAGAACAGCTAGTTTTCAGCTGTCAGAAAAAGGCAAGATGGCAGCATCCCATGGTGGCTATGGGGGAACAGGAAAAGGAAGGTGTGAAGACCAGTGGGCAGGATGGTGCCCAGGAAGAGAGAGGGGGGTGAGGCCATGCGGCTAAGGCCCAGGAAAAATGGGTTGGCATGCAGCTGAAGAGGGGAGAGAGGAGCGAGCGTGCAGTGGGTAAGGAAAGTAGTGAAGGGAAGGTGCTGGGAAGTTAGGTGGACAGGCTGGAACATGGGCCATGTGGAGGAGAAGGGGAGAGACAAGCTTGGGATTTAAAGCCAAATACATTTTCTGTTTAGTATGTATCCCTAATTTCTGGTCTCATCTCCAAAATACTTTCACTGTCATATCTAGCGAACATTTGATGCTCCTGAATGCTGCTCACCATTTTTGTATGTTTTACCTATTTTGGATACAAGAAAAAAATCCTGGAAGAATGGTTTTACACTGATTTTTTTTTTCAATATCATATTTTTGGGATGGTATTTTAACCACTGAATGAAATCTCCAGAAAAGCCTACAATTATCCTCCTAAGAAATCATATTATCCTACTACTGGATTGAAGTGCTGACTTTAACTGCTGGTAAAAGGCATTCAAACGTTCTTTCTGCACGGGCCACTCCAAGATACAATGAGATTTGAACATTGCTCTTCGTAAACAAAGTGCATTCTTTAACTTATAATCAGGAATGTCATGTCGAAAAATTAGTATAATGGAATCCCGACTTTGTTCAATGGCTTGCTGTATAGCATGATACACTTTGAACCTGAAGAAAAGAAAGACATGTTTTGGCTTACTAAAGTTACTTATGATAAGTTCAGAGACACGTATCTTTATGATCTACTCCCTTGAATCATTTAAAATCAGTAATACTTTTGAAAGACTTAGGTCATTTGGTGTCATAGAATCCCAGAATTCAAAGGAACTACTTAAGCCACCAAGTCCAATTGTCTATTTAGTGCAAAAATATCCAAATTAAACCATCCTTGTTAATATCCAGGGAGAAGAATGATGAAAAGGATGTTGTAGATGCTGGAAGAATATTGAAAAATGGTAAGACTGCAGGTATAGACACTTTAAGTGAAGGAACGTTAAAATATGGGTATGGTTTGCTTTTGGACTTGCGTGACTTATCTAATGTGCAAAGACTGCATCTATGCCCGATGACTGAAGATTTCAGTTCTTGTTCCTTTTATATAAAAAAGCAACACTACACAGCAACACTACACAGAGATTGAGGGTGGGTGTTTTGCATAATTCTGATTGAAAAGTACAAGTGGTGGCAATCTATGATAATTTTTTGCATGTGTATTTTTCCTAGAATGCATTTTTAAATAATTATTTCCTTGTATGAAGTGCATTGGGTCATATTTCTTTAATATATGCTTTCTGAGTTATGAACCTTATCACAAAAGTTGTGAAAATGTAGATTTTGATAACAAGCATGTTCTAATTTACTTATACATAAAGATTTAAGAAGTGCAAATCTGTGAACCTCACATACAGATGTGAACCAGATGGACTTCCCTGCCAACTAGAAATACTATGCATGTTACTTCCACTAGAAAGCAAGCTACTGAGAGCACTTTTCTTTACATAGGTGACACAAGTTGTATGTTTCACACTGATGACTTTTAGATTTGCAGTCCTAGCCCCTGCCAAAGCCTTGATAAACCCTGAAATTTAAATTTCAGGACCTGGGAGCAAAGGAATAGAGAGGAGGTTCTTTACTGGACAAAGATCATACTCCTGCAAATATTCCTGTTTGCAAATATTTACCCAGGGCTGTTCACTTATGACGACATTACCGCTCAAATACATGTGACACCCATAATACATACTGGTTGCTATTAATAATCATACACAGTAAGTTGGAACTAAGCTATAGGAATATTGTATAAAATCTGTTATAATGCATTTCACATATCTTTTGCCTTGTCAAAATTAAATCCTCTTAAATGCAACAGAGTAGTCTTGAAATTAAAAAATTCAAGTTCTCTGCTTACATCTGTAAGGTCACTCAGCAAGATTAAAAACTAAATGCTCAATATTTTTGGAAAGCACAACCTAGTATTTTGTGAAAAATATCTGTGAAATTAAATATCCTGTGCTGTATAACGGGTACAATCTAAAGACTCAAAATTTTCAAAGTAATATATGGAATGCGTGTTTAATTGACAGGATTCCCACCCCCTTTTTTTTAAACATAAGAAAATAGGATTCCTTAGTTGGGAACCAAGGCACTTTACAGAAACAGCTTCAAAATTAAATACATATCCTAAAAACCCAAATGGAATGGCAATTATTTAAATAATTTCAACTTACCTTTTACACCAGGGATCTTTTAAGAGGTGTTCAGTTACAATAAATATGATCTTTCTGCTTCTTTGCATGCTATTGATGATGGCTTCAAACTCAGATACTCCAGCTTCAAAATCTCGTTCCTCCAAACAAAATCGAATGGCTGGTTGATTGTTTTCTTCAAGAGTAATAAAGTTCTTAGATACCCAATTCTTGTCCTTTTTGGCATGAATGATGTAGGCATCATATTCAAATTGCTGTTGTGGTCTATCTATTTCTTTGTGGCCTAATACTCTGTTTACAGCCACAGTCCACATAAATTTAATCCTCCATCCTTCAAAATGAACAAGCAGGGCTATAAAGATGAGGAATGATACAAAAGTAGTGCACAAAATGTATACCAGCTTAAAGGGGACACTATCACATAGGGAAGTATCAAACTGTGCTACCATATTAAAGTGATATTTGGGTGGGGTATTGCATTGATAATTATTTAAATCTGAGATATATATTTTGCTGCTATTGAGCCAATTAACAAACCAAGCTATACTGTCACAAGTACAGTCAAATGGATTGGAACCCATATTTAGTTCTTTTAGATGTCTGAAAACAGCACCAAACACTTCTTCATCAACAGCTGTGATGAGATTCTTCTGGAGGGAGAGAAAACTCAGAGATGTCAGATTATCAAAAAGGAATTTGGGAAGCAAATTTAAGTTATTGGAATCTAAATTCAAGCTTCTCAATTGAGATAAGCCATGGAAAGCCTTGTTTGGAATCTCATCAAAGCCATTCGATTCTAAATCCAGTAGACGGAGGTTTGGAAGGTCTTTGAGAAAGAGAACAGGGCCATCTGGGTTGTCATGCTTCCAAAGTCGAGCCAGATTATTGTGCTGCAGGTCAAGAATTTCAAGCTGATGCAATCCATCAAATATACCATCCTTTATGTTAGCAATGTTGTTGTTACCCATATCCAGGATTGTCAAATTCTTTAATTTACGAAATGGTGAGGGGGTGATTGCAAGATTACTGCAACGTACCTTTCTCATTCTCAGCTTTCGAAGGCTTGGAATAAGGGTGAATGATTCACTAGTCAAATTTAACTGATAGTTATATGAAAGATAGAGAATCTCAATATTACTAAGACCTTGAAATTCCTGGCCTGTAAGGTTCTGCTTAATATTATTTAAACCTAAATCAAGCATTTTTAGTTGTCTTAGCCAAGAAAAAGCTTTGGGCTTGATGGAAGTGATTCCAGCTTTTGTTAGACTGAGAAACTGCAACGAAGAATTTGCAAGTGAAGAAAATGTCATATTTGTTATTGAACTTATATTGCATTGACTTAAAGTCAAGTTTTTCAAATTTTCTAAACCTTTAAATGTATAAGGAGTAATCTCTAAAAATTTATTACCATCCATAATAAGGTAATTCAAATGAGTTAGCCACTGGAAAGCAGAATCAATTATTCTGACATGTGAATTTTCCAAGTTCAAATAGTTCAGACTGTGAAGCCCATAGAGGGAATGAGAAAACAGTTTCGTAATATTGTTATTCATTAGATTTAGTTTTTTTAAATTTGCAAAATATATAAAAGAGACATTTTCAATAACAGACAAATAATTATTTGATAGGTTTAAGATGGTGAGGTTTGTTTTACTCATTCCACTGAAGGTCGAGTTGGAAATCCGTGAAAGTTGCACTTTACTCATTGAAAGACTCTGTATTTTTGTGCCAGATAATTCCAAACAAAGTTTCTCTGTGCCATCAGGTCCCAATGGAATGTTGTTCAGGTCAAGGCCATATAGATTTCCAATAGCATGGAAGCAGCCTGGCTGAAACTAGAAATAATAATTATAATGGTTTTAAGTTATCCTCAATGATAGAAACACTGGGCCACAGAAATGTTGTCTTTCCACCATCACCACTCCCAAATTTTGAGCCAACTCTCCCAAATTACTGAAAATTGCCCCCCCCCCGCCACCAATTTTCACACAAACTAGCAGTCCAAATTATATACCGCATTACCTAACTCAGGCTGTAATGTAATTAGGTAATGGCTGGAGCCACATGCAATGGGGCTGGCAGAATCTGACTTTTTAAATAAGTTAAAACAAAATTAAACTTTTAAGTGGCACAACGCATACGGGTTCTCATGCAAACAATGTGAGACTTCATTTGATGGCCTACTTTGTAAGAGCCAGGCCATTTTTAATTTTAAAAGATTAACTTCAAGGCTCAGAAGGTGCTATCTAGAAGTGCTGCAGGCAGCAATTTCCACCCCAATGACAGCTTCTTTATATGGTAGTTGTTCCTTTCAGATAGCTTGCCTGTTGCTTAATTCCACACAGGTCACATTTTCCTGTGCCTTCGCAGAGAATTTGGAGAGGCAAAACAACAAATCATAAATTGTAGCTACCAGTTTGAAGTTTGACTTTTCATATTTCTTCACGTCTAGTGCACAGTCAAGAATTACAGCATGGCCAGTAATTCTGACCCCCGACTTCTACACATGGCATCATGGTTTGTTTTGTTTTGTTTTGTTTTGTTTGTTTTGTTTTACATGAGAGTGATCCTGCTTATTCATAAGTGACTTTCATCCATATTCTTTCAGCCTACCAAGATGATAGGTGTGATGATATTGTTTACCTCTTTCAGGGGGTTTAATGAGAGGTCCAATCTTTTTAATGAAGAGTTACTAAGAAAGTATAGATCTTCCTTCTTTAATTCTGAAATGTGGTTTTGAGACATCACAAGCTCTTGTAGACTCTCCAATTGTTGCTGAGACCCCAATCTTGTAGAACGTAGCTGATTATGAGAGACATCCAGGAATGTCAAATTCTGGGGAAGAACGAAATAAAGAAAGAAAACAGATTATATATTTTACATCCCACTCATGAGCTGCAGGTCTTCTATTCAATGTTAGGCTTTCTGGTTAAAGCTATGGCTGTGCAGTACTTTGGATCTGATACATCAGCACACCCAGGGCATGCATATCGCTCTTTTCAGAAAACCCGAAACCAAACTTGGAAGCCAAGAGCACAATGTCAGGAAAAAACAAGCTGCTTTAAGTAGTATCATCCATCTGCTCTGTTGCATCTTTTTTTTTCCTATTGCAAAGCACTGTACAGCCTTAATTAACTCATGTGAAACACTGACTAGAACAAATTTGGATAGTTGCTTCCAGTTATAGCAGATCTGATACTTAAAGGAAAACATTAATTGGTATTTATCTTCACATTCATGTACCCAACTCTACATATCCACTCAGGGGAAACGAAGAAACAATACATGAGAACAGGAATAGGCAGCTTGGTCACTTCATATTTTGGACCGCAACTCTCATGTGAAGCAGCCAAGACCTGGGGATTCTGGTAATTGTAGCCCAAAATATATGGAGGAACCCAGGTTGCATATCCCTGCATTAGAGCTTTATTCACTAACAACACATTGACACAACAGTCTTAGTTTTATTTCCAAATTACTGGAAAACAGAATTGTTCATTAATTGATTATCTTTCTCTCTTCCCAACTCCCTCATCTAAAGTTGAGAAAATTATGAAATTTAAGTTGATATAAACCAAACATGTTTATTGCTGATAGGCTTGTCCCTGGTTGCCATTCTTTGCTTTTCTGATGTTAGTATGTGTTTTTAATTATTTCTGTTACTTGTTATTATATTGATGTTTTCATTGTGTCCACCACCCCAAGTTGCTTTGCAAGATAGGTGGCCATCTAAATCAAATCAAATCAAATCATAATAAAACTGATCTTGAATCTATGGCTATTCAGCGAGCTGTCTTTGGCTTTAGGAAATTAACAGGACTTCTGTGGAGACTGCATTATGACCATCTCCTACAAATGAATAGCTACTATTGGTCCATGCCCATTTTCATTAGGGAAATATTTTCAGCGAATGTAGATCTCTCCAAACTTTCTCTCTCTATGTATTATTTTACTTGTTTTCCACATTTCTACCCCACTGTAATCCAGAGACCCTCAACGGCAAGTATGTCTATGCATGTTTACACGCACACACATATGCACAGTCACACCTTATTAAATCTGTTTATATAATGATCATATGTGGATAGTCATCCACAGAAAAGCATTGTGACTACATCTTTCCTCAGCATCTGATTCTTATTTGCTATGCTAGTATACTAAGCCTACTCCTCAAAATAAGCCCTACATAGTATGAGGTTTAAGAAGCCAATGTTTGAGCATGGCCAATTATTGTCTGCTTAAAAAAATGGAATATGGAACCCCTTTCCTTGGCCACAGCTAGTCTTACCTTAGGAACAAGAGAATCCCTTACCTTTGCTGTGAAACTTTGATGTAAACTGCACTCTTATGTCTTCTTAGTGGTTTACTACTTTTTCATATGAGATGACTAAGTTTGTGGAAAAGTCTAATACGTAGTCAAGGAAAACAACATCTAAGGTGGCCACCCATAAGTTGGTACATTCCAGATTTCTGGGACTGTGAACTGCAAGCCCAGCAGACCTGGTAGATACCAGGTTGAAGAAAGGTGATATGAGGCCTGAGAAGAGATCAACTGGCATCACTCACAGACTTAGATTTATTTCATTCTACCATTCTGGTGCCGCTACCTTGTTTTTGTTTGCACAATTAACGTTCAATGTATTTCTGCTACTTTTTTTGTTCTACAGATACTGTGACTGAATTTGTGGAAAATCAGACTACTAAGCTCAAGAAAGAAAAGAAAAAAAACCTTTAAGCCCTTTATTCAGAATAAGAATCCTGATGGGGTAAGAACGCAAGGAGCTGTTTTGCAGAATAATAAGTGGAAGCAGGAGAGCATCCAGTTTCCAATCGGTATCAATTTTATTCAAAATTTTATTTTTTTTATATAATTTGAATAAAATTATTCAACGTTTTATTCAAAAAAAATTACAAAATTCCAGAGAAGCAACTCTCAAGAAATTAGTGTCCTATGTGACAGGAATCTAAATCACGTACTTGCAGTATAAACACAAAAGAAAGTCACACTCAAGGTTTCCAGATATGTATGTTTGCGTTCATTCATGTACACACTCCTAATTCTGACTCAGAACAGGCAACATATATATATGCCACCCATGCAGTCATATTTTTAAAGCAGGATCTAAAATAACAGGAAGCAGTGCACAATAAAACAATGGATAAATGGAGACATTTCAGAGCAATATAACATACACTCTTATATCAGTGAGTAGCAATAGATTACAGCATTTACAGAAGGCATTAAGCCCATCTCTGTTAAAAGGATCTTTTCCCCTTCCAGAACATAGCTCCATCAGAAAACCTGGAGAATCAACATCAGTCGAAAGAATTATTATTTAGATAAAAGATGGTGGTCTGATTCAGTCGACACATATTCTCATATGCTCACGTCATACTAACCTTAACGTAGCAGAACCTTAAATCATACTGACTCACCAAACAGCAGGCCAAAGCTTGAACTTACCTTCAGATTTTTGAAAGGATCATTTTTTGCATCCAGAATGTTGAATCCCAAATTAAGTTCTCTCAGATTGGTACAGGAAGTAAAAACATCGCCATGAAATGTGTGCAACTGATTGTGTTCCAACCTCAATATCTTTAACAAAGGTAAACTGAGGCACAGTTGTCTCTCCAGCTTAGAGACGGAATTGAATCCCACATTTAAATAAACAAGCTGATTGTACTTGGTAAGGTTTGTAGGCGGCAGTGTTTTCAGCTGGTTATGTGAAATATCCAACGCTGTTATATCAGCTGGGAGATAGGAGGGAATTTGAGTCAGCTTTAAGTGAGAACAGTCTGCCATTTTATCTGTGATTTTACAGACATGCCGAACTGACCCACAATTAATTTGGACAATCCAAAGGATGAAAGGCAAGCACGTCCAGCACATCAGAAGCTTCCTCATTTTCCTGAAAGGAAAATGTACATATTTAAAATGAATGTTTCCTTTCTGAATGCACTGTGTGCATGTGTGTGCATAGATACAGACAGACAGACAGACAAACACAATTCCCTTTTGGGGTAAATGATATGCAAACCACAGAAAAGGTGTAATAAGTAACCCCAAGAAATTAAAGCATGAGATAAGGAAAATATAGCTAAACACCAGTGCTGTTTACTAAGCCTTCCCATACTTTTCTATTCTTGAATACCACACTTGCTTCTTCCATGCCATTCACTGCTTCATTTAAAGTTTTGTCCTCTCCTCTTCTTCAGGACTGCATAAATCTCATACAACTGTAAGTTTCTCAGTCTTCCTCTTCTCAACCTGTTTGCTCTTCCTTCACACTCTCCTTATGCCTATTCCATCCTCATTCCTTCATGACCAAACTACCCCAGCGTACTTCTTTCATTCTCAGTTTTGTATTCAATGTGCATTTATTCTAAACCTTATCGTTACTTGTTTAACCACACACACACTTAAAGTAACCCATTCTTCCTGCATTCTACTGACTTTTGTTTCTTCTGAAATATCCAACTCTCACTTCCATATAACAAAGAGGGTCAAAACAAGCTCTTACACACAGACATTTTCACTTCTTTCAAAATTCATTCTTCACACAGATCAGATACTACCCGTTTCCTTTCTATCAGCATTTGCATTTTCTCATTTTTATAAACAACCTACATTGGAAGACCTGAAGGACCAGGTTAAGGACAGATCATCCTGGAGAAATTCTACCTATGTGGTTTCTAAGAGTCAACACCGACTTGATGGCATGTAATCAATCAATCAGTTGTTCTAGTGTTTTGCTAGAGTATAATTTGCAACATTTTCCCTGTCAGATCCAACTATAGGAAGTCCTCAGTAAGCACCCACTTGTTCAGCGACCACTCAAACTTACAACAGCACTGAACAAGTGGTAGTAATGACCAGTCCTCGAAGTTCCAGCTGTCGCAGTGCCCCCACAGCCACATGATTGTGATCCAGGCGCTCGGCAACTGGCCTGGATTTCCAACCGTCGCAGTGTCCCTGTATCACATGATTGCAATTTGTGACCTTCCCTGCTGGCTTCCCACAAGCAAAGTTAATCCAGGGATTGCCATCGCTAAGCAGTGCAGTCATGTGACGTTGCACTTATGACCACACTGCTTAATGATGGAAATTCCAGTCCTAATTAATTACTGTTATTAAGCAAGGACTGCCTGTACCTTGATGTTTGACACAGTAGTTTTCAGACCCAGTCTCATTCCTTATGCCTATTTTCCATTCATTCTATCAAGAGAGATTAAACTATCTTTCAATATTTTTTAATTCAGGATTTCTATTCTCTCTTCTTGTGGTCACTGTAATTTCATTCTATTTCTTTCATTTCTTTTCTTCCATATCCATTTCTGCCAAACCCACTCTTGACATTAGCAAAGAGTGGTCTGCCCCATATTCAGAACCACTCATCATATCCTTTGCAAATTCTCTCAATATTTCATCATAAAGAATCAAATCAATCATGATTTTGGACTCATTCATTTTCCATGTGTGCATATGAACAGATTTATGCATCACTACAGAGTGAAATGCTCACCCAGTCACCATTCTCATTAATTCTTGGCTCTCTGAATGCCCTAATCATTTTAGTGTTCTGTCTCATCTCATTCATCCATCCATGTCACCTAACAGAATAATTTTTCTCCTGGATCATGTTTATATTCAATTTTTCCCCAAACTCATATCTGTCCCCCCCCCCTTATCTTTATTTGCTGGAACTGCAGAGAACGCATGGAATAGCCTTGAAGAATAGGAGGAAGAGCCACTACCAAGGCAATGGTCAGATAAATGGGGCTTGAACTTGGCCCAAGAAAATAAAACATTTCAGATAAGCCCCTCCCTAGTTTACATGAAGATAAAGGGAGGGAGGGGGAAGGACATTCAGATTTCCAAGATTCTGTTATTATAACTGTTACAATCAAAATAGTCCTGATCTATATGGTATTGGTTATTTAGTCTGGCCTACCTTGTTGGGCTAACAAGAACATAACATGCAACTATCTATGGATTCCCACACACCATAACATAGTGACCGTATTTCATCCTTTCTGATATACATTGCTTTCATTTTTTTCATTAATTTGTGTTCTTTACCATTTGCTCCTCTTATGTTCCAAGTCATATTTCCATATGCCATAGTCATCTCCAGATGGTCTTATACATATTAAACTTCCTCTGTCAATCCAGAAGGCGTAAATTAGGTTACCATCTTTCATCACTTTGCTACTAGTGAAGAAAGTATCTGTCAGTTTTGACTCATTTGGGCCAGAAGTCACAAGTGCAACAAAATCTTGGTTTTACTGCAAATATGCTCACTCAATTCAATGCAATGTAGGCTCTCTAACAGGGAGATTATTTTGCATATCCACATACTCATGCCTTAGCCTCAGCAACTAGGAGGAACATGCAGTATATTGACAAATGTGGGTTTTCCAGAAAATTTTGAATCAGAAAATATAATTCCAATTCCCCTATTTATCTCCATACCCAGAGTCTGCACATGTATTAGGGCTACATTATTTTATGTTATGATGTTTGAACAGTATATTCAAAGATACTAAAATCTGATGTTTGGAGAAAACAAATATTGGAATGTTAGAAACAATTTGGGGCAATAGGTAGCAAAAAAAATCTGCTATTTTAGCTTTTCAATAACCTTAAAAGCAAATATCATACAACTTTCACATTGCCAAACATCCCTAGCTCTTCAAATTTACACAAGTAGGGCTCAATAACTGTATTAATCAATCAATAATCAATAACTATAGGGTACTGTAAGGTCCTCAGCTGACTTTCCTCTTCCTGCAATATTTAGTCTTTATCCTCTTCCCGCTTGCTTCCAAGGAAAAATGAGAAAATGAGCTCGAGAAAATGAGTGCTGAGAAGAGCAAGAAATCTCTTCTCCCCACATTTTTTTACTTTAATAAGCACAAAAGAAAAACTGCTAAAACTAGATGGAAAAAACATAGTATTTGTATTTGTCTTGTCAGTCTTTAGGATTGGTACAAGCTCAGAAATCAGGAATAAAGGCCACAGTTAAATCATGATCTATAATGCTAATTTGAAAGGCTGATACAAACCATAATTTACTCATTTGAATGTACTCACAATCAATTTATTTGGTGAAAACTAGAAAGCTATCAGGTACGTCAAATGCACAAGAGAGAAGTTGGAGGAAGAATGCGCTGGACAGAGCATACAGGCACAGATCATATTCCTGTTTACAGTTAGGGGATTAGAAACATTTTATACCAATAGCTTTACTTTACTAATCTATGCAGGACACTGTAGCAACACACCATGAGTAACTGCCCCATCTGAACTTTGTAGGGCTTCTAGATCTGGGCTGAAAAAATACAGGCAACCACAAGAAGGCAGCAAAGTGTTCGCATTTTCTGCTGCAAATAGTCTTAGAACCTAAATTGTGAAGTTTAGCTACAGTGTTGTTCATTTATATATAAATGGGGAAAAAGAATCCTTCAAGTCAGTCAGGACTCCTGGTGCCTGCCTGGAGTCTGCCATTTTCTTCTTCTTAGATTTAAGAGAGAGTGACTGGCCCAAGGTCACCCAGCTGGCTTTGTGCCTAAGGCAGGATTAGAACTCACAATCTCCTGGTTTCTAGCCTGGTGCCTGTAAAAAGACTATACTGTATTATCTTTACCCTGAAAGTCAGCAGCATTTCAGTTTCTGGATGGGAAAGCAGTGGACAATAGTACCCCCCCCCCGAAAACGTAATCTACCCAATTTCCCCTCCCCCAAATAAAAAGAATTAACTCAATTCCCGGTGACCCCTGTAGCCCCCAGAGGCCAACAACTGCTTTTAGTTAGAAAAAGCTGCTAACCCCTTTCAGCATTCATCAAATACAGTGGTACCTCGGGATACGAACTTAATGCGTTCTGTGACTCTGGGCGTATCCTGAGTTGGTCATAACCCGTCGCAAATTTCCTCATAGGGTTCAATGTAAATCCGGTTAATCCGTTCCGCCCTTCGAATTTGGTCGCACCCCGAAGCAAATTTTCCCATAAGGTTCAATGTAATTACCGT